CAGCCACCACCACTGGCCGACTTGAATTCACTTCTGAAGCTGAACACGGATGACTTCCTTTGCCTCCATTCACCAATGCAGCTGTAGTTACTTACCCAGGAAGCAAAGGTGATCCCTGGTGGGATTGCATGCAACTAATCGACCAAGTGAAAACTCGAGCAATTCCCATCTTCAATTATCTTTTCCCTGATGCACAGGGGGTGTTCATTTTCGATTGTTCTTCAGCACATGAATCTTACGGGCCCTCCGCTCTTTGAGTGTCTAACATGAACCTTGGTCCCGGCGGCAAGAAATCATCATTACGAGATACCGAGATCCCATCTGACGACCCTAGAATCCCTCTTGAAAAACAAGGTCTTCCTCAATCCATGGTGTATCCGGCCGACTATCAAGACCCTAATCTTGCTGGGAAAAATAAGGGAATCCGTTGTGTCCTAGCCGAGCGTGGCTTGTGGGACCTCTACGAAGCCAAAGCCAAGGAATCAGGTAACAAACCTGTCTTATGCTGTGCAACATGTAAACTATCGAATACAAAGCGAGATTTAGCTGCGCGAGAAGCCCGATTACAACGCGAAAAGGATGCACAAGATGCTTACGAGAACGGCAAATCCCCAGTCACCTCCTCCATCAACATCTCTGACGATCCATACTGCTGTGCTTCAAAGGTTTTGAGCTTGCAGTTGGACATTGCGAATGAAAAGCCATTACTTCAGATGGTCATCGAGGAGGCTGGCCATATATGCTTGTTCCTTCCCAAGTTTCACTGTGAGCTCAACCCGATAGAGCTCTACTGGTCTTTCATCAAGCATCGTAAGTGTTTCTGTTTCCAATTAACATCCACTTTATACATTTGACTAATTTTTTTAATTCAAAGACTATCGAGCCAACAGCTTCAAAGCCACAACATTCAAGGATTGCCAGGCTCTCTTCGAAGAGATACGCAAGCGCTGCCCGGTATCAACCATCCGAAAGTATTTTCGAAAGGTCGATCGTCATATGAGTATCTATTGGTATGTTTATTTTTTCTCGTCTTGTATCATCAAGATCTACTAATTCATGGCATTTTATGGCATTTCAGTGACGGTTTCACTGGGGTTCAAGCTGAGAACATGGCCAAAGACAAGCAATACCGCTCACACCGATGTATTCCACGTAAGGCTGCCATGAATCTTGATTTCATTTGCAACCCTTGATTTCTTTTTTTATTTTATTCTCTTTATGTTATCGTGACTCAATATATAAGATACAAGAATGTTATCCCAAATTTGTACACGAATGTTATCCTGACTTTATATACAAATGCTATCCTAAATTTATACACGAATTCCACCCAGTGAGTTGCGATGAGAGGTGATTGGAGTCGTACCCCTCAGGGTACTTAAGTAGCAGCTTAAGGGCTTATCTAAGTAGTTAAATACTTACGTTTAGTACTTAAGTACTTAACATTAGGTCCCTTAGGTACCTAGACCCAAATCTTGAGGTCTCGGGAAAAAAATTTTTTTTTAAAAAAATCAGCCAACCAGATTGACTCACTAATTAGTCATTTCTGACACCAACACCCCCCATTGAGCCCATAAATGACTTGTTACATGTGGTTTATCACTAGAGGTTTAGTGTATAACTTTGTGTAATCGAATTTCGATTTTGCGGAGCGCGTCTGGTCGTGACTAGACTGGAGCAACTGTACCTGTATAACACGTCAATTTAAACAAGGGGTAAGTTTCTTACACTACTCCAGATTTCAAATTTACCGCTGAGTTTAGAAAATCAATAAGACATAGAAAATTATACACAAGGTGGAAGGGGTCAAAAAATATGGAAAAATAAGGGTTGCATTCCCCTGTGTGTGCCCATCATTTTGCATATTTTTACAGATTTTTACGGCAGCAGTGTATATCAGGCCAGAAACTCAGTTTATGTCCCAAACTGGCAGTCATGGAGGCATTAACCTTGTGATACCAATAAAATTGTGAATTTTGTGTCAACATCTGGAATGTCTGCCCATCCTGAAAGCTACATGTTTAATTTACCAGATACACATTAGAATGAGTGGTGTGTGTCCAAAAATGAAGAAGGTACAGCAATCACTGTCCCCAACAGCAAAGCTAGAAAAGCTTATAAATCTGTTCTGCAAGGGTTTTAGCATCCAAATGGAAACTGTAGATCCAGTATGTGGCTTTCATAATGTGCAACTCCCAAATTGATCAAAAGAAAATAGTTGTATTTGTGAGTGTTGAAAACTTTCTGCCCAAGCCTGGGTAGTTTTGGACAAAATTTGAGTTTCTGACCAAATACACCCCAAAATCATTTTTCTATGGAACGACTTCAAAACTCAAGGTAAAAATATGAAAAAATATGCAAAATTATGGGAAATCACAGACTGATTCAACCATAATTTTTTCAAATTTTTCCTACATCTCATGCATTGCTGAGAATTTTCTACATCTTGACTTTTCTAAACTCCATGGTAAATTATTGATTTGGTGTAGTGTTATATTGTAATATAAATAATTTTCCTTGAGGAGAGTACCCGGGCCTACTGTTGTTAACAGAAGAGGATGGTCTATCCTTAGACCCGAATTAATTCTCTAAAGCACAAGGCTTAGAGTAGCCTGTATCCTAGGATAACAGGGATCTCGGACAACTTTGCGTTGCGAGAACTGAAGGTAGTGACCAAGTAGAAAAAACACTTACTCAAGATCAAGTAAGGTAAGAAGAGGGTTCTTTGCTGGATTCAAACAATAAGTGGGGAACAGACTGTGCCGGTATTTGAACTTGGATAGTTAAGCTAGGTAACTACAAGAGATTTGAATAGAGATATCAGAACTTATTCTGGACTAGAGGTTCAAGATCAAACTAGGAAGATGGAAAGATGGGAGTACGTTTATTTGACTAATGTCTATTTCTTTTAAGAAAGGATCAGGTGGCTGCTTTGAGAAGTGGAACACAAGAGAATAGTAAGTTCTAATATGCTGGACTTGCTGTTTAGAAGGAACACTAATGGTTTCCGCTGGAGATAGTATTGGTAAAATTCAATGCCTCTCATCTCCCGTTGATCAAGAGAACACCCTTTTATACCTTTTGTAAGCTTCTCTATCAACTTGCGACGCTCTCATAGACAAAAAGGCTCTAACTCCTTTTCCTACCTAGCTTAGTTTGTAAACTCAATGAACCTTTTGGTTCCATGGTTTTATTCTATGTCGGCTCTTTTAGTTGTACTCTGCCATTCTCGGTTGGGCATGTCTTTCTAGATCCTTTTACGTATCTATCTGTCAAAGTAAAAGGAAACGGCTCCTGCCGATTACTTCATCGAAATGGTACGTAAAATGTCCCGCTGAGAATTTCTAGATCTTTTGACTAATCATCTATAGTTCTTCTGATCTCTAGTCTAGGATTTTCTACTACGCTAGTTTTGAGTATATTCTCTTGACTTCTATATGGTTATTTCCCTTTGAATCTTTGGCCTGTTCTTGGCTCTTTGAATTACTTTTGTTCTCTTGTCAACTAGAGAATTCATAGTGGTTTTACTAATTATTCCTTTCTATATTATATTTTATTTGGACCTTTGAAACTAGGTCAATAAGTTGTATAATATCATTATTGCAGAACCTTTGATACTAGATTTGTAAGATGTTTCTTGTGAAATTTTTCATATATATATATTCTTTTATCTCATTTATATTTCATTTATGTTCATTGCTTCATTTGTACCTTGAAGTCCTTTGGGTGCTTTAGACCTAAGCACTCAAGGGCAGACATGAATCTTGTGACTTGGTGGGCACGGATTTGAAAGACAATCTCTAGCCTGGGTTAAATCTAACCCAGCTTGAAGATTTTTTGAAGATTTATTAACCAAAGCTTGCTTAAAGAGTCACTGTTGTGGATTTTGATCAGTCTTTAGGGTGAAATTTAGATGAATCCTTGATTAAAGCCACAATTGCAGAAATTTTAAGGAAATAAACGACTACTAAAGAGAGTGAGAGTCTACTGTGGTAGACCAGTCTCATAAAAGACAAAGACTTCTTAGCAAATGCAACATACCCAGGTGAAGATACATGTGTTACAGAATTAACTCCAAGAAAGACCTACTAATTTCTCACGCACAATACTGGAACAGAGTGCTTGAGTATGAGCCCCTGGTGTTTGGCAACCCCCTAGCATAAGCCTAAGAACCTGGCTATAGGCCTAGTGTGTAGCTAAGTACTTAAGCTCCACAACCAACAATCTGAAACCCAGAAAAAATAAAATCATATTTCTTTGGTTCACATAGTCACGGAGAAACTACCATTTTTATTTTTATTTTTCAAAAGAGTCAATTTTAATTTTAAAAGTCTCATCATAAGTTTTAATATACATATATGCCACCTAATAAAAATGGCAAGAATGAAGCATCAACATGCTGTCTATTTGATGATGTATAGAGGTAAACCTACATACAGTAAAGAGCTCAAAAAATTGATAGAGTACCCAAAGCCTGAGACGGTATCTCTGGAGTCCATTTTGGGGGAGGAGTGTACAGGGTCAGGAGAGGTCGAGGCAGGGGTAAAGCCATGAATGGGAAAGAACACTAGTCGTACCACAGTCATGGCTTTAGAAGGGTGCAAGGTGAGAGAACAGAATTTTCTCCTCTCCACGCTCCCACTCTCCCACACCCTGCCTACCGCACCTCATCCTGACACTTCACAAGTGATAACCCTTGGATTTCTCTCGCCTAGTAGCTTTTCTCTCTTGAACACTTCTACCAAAGTTTCTGATTCTAAATTTTCTTTTAATACTCTCTTCACCGGAAATTGTGAATGCATATAGAAGAAGAGGATAGTGGTCAATTTTTAAAATTCTACAAGAAACAACAAAAGAACCTCGGGAAAAGAGAAGAGAAACAGAAGAAAGAACTAGAGAAAAGAGAGGAACGGGAATCAAAAAGAAGAAGAAAACAGGAAGAACGAGCAAAGCGAGCGGCATCCAGAGCTCCAGCAAATTTTGACCGAGCAACAGAAGAGATGTCGAAGACCCAATACGTAGAGGAAGGCGGTAACGGAACGGGGGAACCGGACGGCAGGATGTTGGAGAATGGAACGGAGAGAGAAAACAACAAAGTTGAGACCAACACGGAACACTTTGCGGGACAAAACAAGCCGACTCTAGATCAGCAGGATGACCCGGAAGGACAAAAGGAAGAGCTACCCTCACCTTTTCTCAAACGCGAGGATCAAGGCAACTCGGACTCGGAGTCTTCACTCGAGTACCTAGAGGAAAACGCCACATTAGCTCAGATAGACGGTTTGATAGAGAAAAATAGCAGTGAGTTATGACCTCTAAACCTAGGGACGACCAACCCCCCCCCCCAAACCCACAACCGCGGGATGACAAATACCGCAACCGAACGCCTCCAGGACCATATAACCTGTCGAGAGCTCCCGGGCGAAGCATACCCCCCTTCTCACACCCAGATGATCCTGCAACTAAATCCTCCAGGCCTAAAAAGCCTGTCGGAGAGAGAGAGAGAGCAGATGAAGGCCAAGAACCTTCTCATCAGAGGCCCTTCCTGTTGAGAGACACCTCAGTCTCTCGTACCTAGGTTTCAGCCGTGGTGAAAGGTGAATAAGACTCTAAGTATCAAATCACTTTACATACTAAAATACAGTAGTTTTATTCAAACTTAAGATGTCAGACTCAAACTTAAATGATCCCTATTTAAATTGCGCCTCCCCCTTTTCGCGCTAATACTCTTTTCCTTTATCCGTCTTCTTACGGAAAGGAAAAGAGTAAGTTCAACCCCTTCACTACATTATCATCAATAGTCTCTACTCTCCATTAGTTTGATCTTCAATATGACTGTTACTAATTATCATACTGTGATGTTATCTTTTTCTTTTTCATCTGAATCATTGTCGACGCTAGATCTTACTGAACTCATCGCGTCGACCCTTTTCCTTATTTTATATTGTGACCTGAACAAACCTTATAGGTCAGATACATAGTCAACTGGTCTATTCTTTCTATTCTCTTCATCTAACAAGTAGTGTCCTTTTTGTACTTGTCTATTTCTATCTTTTGTTCTATATAGGTTAGTGTTTCAGGTATTGTGACGAGAAGTGATTGAGACTCACTTCTAGAAACTGTCACGGGAATTCAGGTGAAATTGATCCGTCTTCTTACGGAAAGGAAAAGAATCTTACTGAACTCATCGCGTCGACCCTTTTCCTTATTTTATATTGTGACCTGAACAAACCTTATAGGTTAGTGTTTCAGGTATTGTGACGAGAAGTGATTGAGACTCACTTCTAGAAACTGTCACGGGAATTCAGGTTAGTGTTTCAGGTATTGTGACGAGAAGTGATTGAGACTCACTTCTAGAAACTGTCACGGGAATTCAGGTATCTCGACAAAGGAGATTTGTCGCTTTTCACTTCCTTCCTACTCCAAAGGAAGGAAAGAATAAGGATCAGAACCGCGTTTCCTAACACACCAATTTATTTCCCTCTGTCTGTCCGCTCCACCGAACACGCATCAATCAAGTCGTAGAGAAGCCTGGGAAAAGCCAGAAACGGAAGAAGTTATCAGACCAAGAAGCCTTGATGGATGAGATGATTGCGGCTATCAACAAAGGCAAATACTCTAAAGTCGTCAAGCTCAGGAAATTGTACGACGAGAAGTATGGAGACCCACAAGAGGTAACAAAGAAGAAGGGGAAAGGAGAGAAAGAGGGAAGGAAGGAGAAAGGGAAAGGGAAGGAAGGAGGTAAAGAGGAGAAGAAAGGAAAGAAAGGAAAAGAGAAGGAGAAGAAGAAAAGGAACAGAAAGAAGAGACGTAGCACACCTTCCAGTTCAGACTCTTCGGACGGAGCCTCTGACTCATTGGGCTCCTCCAGCTCCTCAGACACGGACTCCTCTTTGTCGTCCTCATCAGACAGAAACAGGACACGCTCCAGATCCTCATCATCATCTTCTCAATCCTCGTCGTCGTTGTCATCCTCTAGCAATAGCTCACAAGACGAGAAAGCAATGAAGATTAAGCGATCAAAAATATCTTCATTCACCCTGAGGGACTTACCTCGACCATGGGCAAAAGGCTTCAAAAGACTACGTTACTACGTCCCACTCTCAGTCTTCAACAAAACCTACATCAATAGATACCACTCACTAAGCCAAGAACTGAGACCAGGTTCTAAGAAAGTGGTCATACCGGGGGTATCAGAGTGGGACCTGGAACGGCAGTTGACGTACGGAGAATTCATCCAAGCCTGCGACCTAGAAGCGCGCTATGCGTCAGAGATATTCAATATGAAAGACTACGCAAGATACATCGAGGACCAAAAAGATGTGATAAGTAGGCTCATGACGAAGCACAACTCATGGATGGTTGCCCTACGCTACCACCTAGCGATCAGGACCGTCACGTTCAGAGACCGCTCCACGTTGAAGAAGGACAAGAAAAAGAGAAAGAAGAAAAGCGAGCAAATCATCCTACCAAAGGGAATCCAACCTGAGATAGAAGAAGATGCGCGCTGGGAAGCACAACTAGCTGGCGGCCTACGCTTTGAAGGCAACCCCTATGCAACAGGGGGACCTAAGTTTGGAAACAACTTCTTGACAGGAGAGGCGATGGTGACACACACGATCCAAGGCGACGACTACTGGAGGCCGTCACAACGACAACGGGGAGGAAACAGAAACAGGAGCTCAGTGGGGTCGACACAGGTGGCAGGCGGGAGCGGAAATGGGAAAGGAAATTATGGGAGCGGAGCGAAAGGACCCTACGGGAAAACGCACCCCCAGACAGGAAACACCCACACTAGCACGTCGCAGGGCAACCACGACTGGGTTTCTCAAGGCCAGCAACACGCGAACCAGCAAGCGGCCCAATCCCAAAAAGGGAACCAAAAGGTAGCGGCACCCGCACCAAAACACCAGAGTACGAGGTAAGCCTACCCCAAGGCAAGTAAAGATGGGACAGTTTCTGACCAACTACCTTACCACTCCTTTTTGAACACCCACAACCCAAGAAACCCCTGATCACTCGACGGGCCGGAAACTGGGACGGATGGTACTGATGGGCGGGTGTGATAACTTGGGTACGGCTGATTCTTAGACAATGAAATGAAAAGATAGCCAACTTGTGTTTGAGAAAACTCACCAAGTGAACGTTTGCACTGCCTCCCCCCCCAAATACCTTGCCCCCGCCTTAACCCCAACCCCACGCTCCTCTTAGTCACTATTGACAGACCCAAAGAACCAAATGAGACTGAGTTCGTGAGAGATGCGAGAAGACCACCGGTCAACCAAGACCGAGAAGATCCAAAGAAGATCCCGGTCACCATTGACCTGAGGGACATCCAAGATACGGATGAAGAGGAACTCACCGAGAACACCGAGGCTAAGAAGCCACACGTGAAACGGAAGAGATCCCCACTGCCCCTCAAATCGAGGAAGATCTACTCAGTACCAGTGGAAGTCCAATGGCCAAAACCGGTAGAAACAGAGATGGTCTTAAGCGAATGGGAGAAGCTAATGAACCAAGTAGGACTGGCGGAAGACATACCATATATAATTGACGGATTCAGAAACGGATTCTGCTTAGGCATACCTCAACACGACATACCAAACATGCCTTGGTACACCCCCGAAAACCACAGATCGGTGTTGAAAGCCAAAGACCAAATTGTAAGGTCACTGGCCAAGGAGGTATCGGCAGGAAGAATAGCAGGCCCCTACGCCCACGAGGAGCTGAGGAGGCAGTATGGATTTTTCCGTTCCAACCCGCTGGGAAGCTCAGAGAACGGCGATGGCACGATACAAATGATCAGTGATTTGTCATGCCCAGTCAACGACCCGGAGATCCCGTTGGTGAACTCGTTCGTTGATAAACACAACTATACGACCAGCTGGGACGACTTTGCCATGGTAGCACTATTCTTCGAAAATAAACAAGGAAGCTGGGAAATGGCGCTGGTGGACTGGGAGAAGGCCTACCGACAACTCCACGCACACCCAAGTCAGCGCAGGTTCTTATGCATACGAGATTTCGAAGGACGTATCTGCGTAGACCTAGCGGTAGGTTTTGGAGGGGTAGCGAGCTGCGGGGTCTTTGGCGCACCAGCAGATGTGTGGAAAGTGATCGTCTTAAAAACCCTGGGGTTCACGAAGATATGCCGATGGGTCGACAACAACCTAGTCTTCAGGAAAGCGGGAGAGGCAATGTCGCTGAAAGACATAACAGACCTCAGCAACAGACTTGGCGTCAAGACAAACCCAAAGAAGAACCGTGAGTTCAACCAGGAACAGAAGTACCTAGCCTTCATATGGAACGGCTTCGATCACACGGTTAGACTCCCCGACGGGAAGCTGACAGAAAGACGGGGTCAAATCGATGACATCCTCAAACCCGAATCAAGCTTGAGTTACTCACATGTCAACAGCTTTGTGGGACGACTAGTGCACACAGTACACATAGTCCCACACATGGCACCATACCTCAATTCCATCTACAGATGGCTGCACTCGTGGGTGAACCTGAAAGCACTGAGGAAAGCCCCAGAGGATGTCGTCGAGGATCTGACAGAATGGCAAATATGCCTAAGGGAATTCAAGGTAAGACCTCTAATCCAAGACCCAGAACCCATAGAGGTAAGCTGGGTAGGGGACGCAGCGTCATCAGCAGGCATAGGAGTTATAGTCAGAACAAGCTGGGCAATGTTCAAACTCACGGAGAACTGGCAAACCGTAGGGCTTGAATCAGGAAAACGCATGATTGTGTGGGCCAAAACCGTGGCAATTAGACTGGGTCTCCTCATCCTAAATAGAGTATACCCAGTGGACGGCAAAGTGTTCAAAGTCTACACAAACAACACTACGACCGAGATGTGCATAAAGAACAGGAAGTCTAAGGATAAGGGAGTGAACAACGAATGGAAAATGATCCAACGATTACTCATGAAGTTCAACTGCAACCTCACAGAGGTGAGGGTAGCGTCCAAAGAGAATGACACTGATGCCTTATCGAGGGGAATAGTGCCTAAGGAGTTGAATTGGTGGGACAAGGTCATGATTGACGTGCCGGCAGACCTCAGACACCTGATCAGCCAAGTGCGCTGCATAGGGGTAAAGAAAGACAAAGTCAATATGTTTGAATGAAATGCACCATCTAATGAGACAGTGACAGACCTACGCATTCCAACAAGAGAGCCACAAATAAGAGGGCCTGACGTGAGACAACCGAGCCACGCTCCGTACACGCCCGGCCATCTGAGAGTAATGAGACCTGAAACGCGGCCTACACAAAGCCGTGTGGAGTCACATTCTCAACAGAGCAA